ACGAGTTTTGCGATGTACTGCTGTTGCACACTGTGTCGCAGATGGCTCGTTTCCGGCACTAAACAATGCGTCTGCATTCAGTGTTGAACCGTAATCATTAAAAATGTCGTAAGGTTTCGCAAAACCGATACAAAACATGTGTAAAAAAATTTAGTTTTTTTACGCATTGTTTTGTATCGTATGTATATATATATCTTTGATCGTATCTTTTTGATGAATGGTGGACGTGTGTAGTGTGATGCACCTTTCATTTTGATAATTAATTATATTTATCTAAAAAATAGCTTCTTTTACATATATGCCAGTATGGTCCAGTATGATTTTGGGAACAGTAGGATTTTTTAAATGGTTTGTTAGGGAATCCTTAAGTTAAAATCTCTAAGTAGTTATGTAACAACGTTCAGATTTTAAACCCTACACAAAGTTAGATAACATTAAATAAAATTAAAAAAAATTAAAAACACAGAAGAAAACATAAATAAAAATAACTAAATTTAAAAAAGCTTTGTATGGTGTGGTCAACATAACTGGCAACAAATTGCTCGTTTAATCGCTAGGAATGGCTATAGTGTGGTAGAAACGGTACCATATGCCTCAAGATAGTTTTCTCAACGTTTTAAGGGAAAAAATAGAATCACTTACGCTACAACTTAGATAATTGTGTGACTCAGTGGATCCACTGTTTGAGTTATATTTGTTACCATTTTTTCCATTTCACCACATAACTGTGTAGCGAAACTTTAGTGGCTTTGAATGGACCTGGTTAGCTTTATTCCAATCTGATCTAACAGCTCACCTTTATTATGAGGTCATACAACGTTTTTTATCATCTTAGAGAGTATAAGCTATAAAAGTTGATACTGACTGGCGAAAAGAAAAACGGAAAATTAACAATAAACTAGTCTTGACATTGTACTATTCCCCTTACAAGATAATCACCATCAGCTGTCAAAGAGGAATGTTAAGTAATTATGCAGTAACTGATTGTAGTGACGTTAAAATAATTTTACCTTCTATGATAAGGGGTGACGATATTATCATACATAATTAAAATAAATGCACCACAAAAACAGTAACTGTCTGTGTATATATATGAACAAGCCTGTGTCAAAGGAGGTGCTGATTTATCTTCCTATAGTTTAAACCTTATTTTCTTACTGGTATGCGAGAAAAGGATCCATTGGGGGCGTTTGTGTTTTTAAAGGTGTATCCGAGCCTCTTAATAATAATATGAATGGCGTTTAGTTACTGTTTTACTAACGTCAGGGCAGGATTGCAAGATCAGGACTCTGGTTTGGTCGCGACAATTATATCTGCACTTTTAGATTCCACATTATTGAAATATGACAGTGTAATTTTCCATTAAATCACACAAAATGGGCTATTATATTTGGCAATTATACCATGGATATAGCTCACATCACTATGCGTATATAAAATCAACTCAAACGCCAACAAAATTGATTTCAGGGGCACACACCAAAATGTGTGGAAACTAGCGTTAAGGATAGGAATATATTTTGATGTAATGATTTTAGTGTTCACTTGTTCGCCTATAGAATTTCTGCGCCAATATATACGTAATATGTAGTGAAACGTATAGCGACGCACAATTACTTATTTAAATATGTAAATGCATTTTCCAGATGAATAGAGAGAAAAAAAATTATTCTGTTGACGTAAATCCATAAAAACCTCCTGATCTCAGCTCTCTGGGTTGATATAAAAGAGATGCTGTTCAATATTTGTTCAGTTGCTGCCTATCGTTCAGCCACGTACAGTTTGTAAAGACCTGCATCCCGTTGTTTCAACCGCTTACGATCATCATATAAACGAGGAATCTTTCTTGTGCTAGTGAGGTTTCTTTACTCCCGCTCGACGATAAATGCCCGTGTGGTTATTATTGCTACTGCATTGATGGCCCTGATGTTTCTAACGATCAGTAAGCTCGCTACCGCCCAGATTATTTTCAGTAAGAGCTTGCCAACTTCAACTGACCGCGGAAGTAACAAGCGTTAAAAAACTAAGAGTATGTCTTCGAAGGATGTTCCAAGAGCTACTGGACGACAATCTCATGCAGAAAAAGCGTGCTAAATTTCGTAGAAAATCGGCCTACAGTCTGAGTATAAGAGAGAGGTAGATGACTCAGCAGTCTATTCAATTAAATAAAGAAGATATGTTTGGATTTTGGGAGTAAATTTAGGCGCTGAAATTAAAAGGAAATCTGCCGAATCAAAAACGACACTTTTATTTTTTAATGATTAGAAAAAGTAATTTATATATTTGTACTCTTTAATATTCATTAACAGCCTTGTTGTATTACTGCAATGTTGTATTTTTTCTCGTATTTATATGTATCAGATATATACAGATAATGATTCTTAAAGTATTTCTAATTCTGTAACAAGAGCACAGAGTCACTTAATATTATTTACATAGTGACCAATTCTGCCGAAACATTTTCATAAAGAGAGAAAAAAAAACTATATATATGCTAGCTGTAAGATCCTCCTAAATCCGTTAGTATACAACTTGGTAGCTTCCAATAGAAAGCATAACTACGAGAACTATAGAAATATAGTTGTTTAATTTTTGCATAATCACTCATGTGAAGTTGATTAGTTATTTTCGTACAAATGTAGGATTAAATAATCATTGCAGCCGAAATCGCACATCACCACGTACTAAAATTTGGCATCGCTACAAGTAGACACATGTGATCATTATATATATATATATATATATATGTATATACACATATATCGGCCGGAGCTAAAAATTTAAAGGTGCGATCGCAAAGGACAAATCGCACAGTTTATTCACAACTAATGTCACAGTAAGCGTAAACAGTTTTTGAGCATGGGTGCGTTGCTTACAGGGAACACGCTTTTCTTTCTTGACGGATGCGGATCGTCATTCTTTGTTATTTCTCGATTTCGCTTCTATTGCCGTTAACGTTATGACTAAAAAGGAGTCACTCGACAGTGGGTAAGATCTGACTCGCTCGCTTGCTTGTCCTTCATAGGCACCGGAAGCTGTGCTTGGTGCAGCCGCCGTAGCGGAAAAGAGGCAACTAGAGCCCAAGCGAAAACGTGGACGCACCATAATGCAACGTGGACAGTTGCAGAAGATGAAAGAGAAGCCTCAAGCAATGAAAGAACGTTCGCGAACGAGAAAAAATGCTTTGATGAACGCTTTGATGAAAATGCCTCGAAAAATGATGAACAATTAAATTTAAAAAAATCACAACAGTATCAACAATGTGCCTCGGAGTCGTCAAAGGCAATGGATATTTTTTAGCGCGTGATACCATTTGAGCTTAATAGGACACGTTTCTGTATGTGTCCCATGTTCGCATTGATTCTGCAAATATGCCTATTCGTTACGTGTCGTCATGTCTCAGTATAGATTAGCGGCCATGCTAGCATTACCTATGGAAATACTGATAACAATATATGAGCAAAATTTGAGAAAAGATCATAGCGCTTCTATTGCTACAAGTAGTTCTATTGCTGACGTGGATGAAAGCGCGAATTTAGTTTACATCACAAGTATCATTTTCAGCATCTACTTTTGTCGCTTCCGCACACCCACAGACTCAGCGGTCTTGGAATGTCTTGGAATTTGTGATTCAAAGGAGGTTTTGTGTCACCGAACTGTTTAGGGTCGTACAAATACTCAGAAGTCATCAAGTAACAGTAAATATTGGCACCCAATACAATTATATTGATCCCACTGCTTAGAACCTACATTTAACATGCTAAAAAATGTGTCCCTTTTACAAAGTGTTTCCTTTATCATGTTAGTCTTGGACGCCGCCTACGGCCAAATACAATGTTTCTTTGTTGAAATAGGCTTTAGTGTATTATATGAACTTACGTAAGAAGCCAAATAAAAACTACTATCATGTTTAATTATGATAATGAACTTCATCTTACTGTAAATATCTAAGGTTCGTGATTCTTGCTATAAATGTGCTCTTCGCGTTTGTTCTCGATAGGGCTGTTTAATGTCAATATACTATAGCCACCGAAATATTGTAAAATTATGTCTTTTGCGAGCTTCAACCTCTGAGTCTAATTAATTATGTGAATTATCAAGTATATTGTCTAAATCATTACACTTCCTATTCGCGCTCTGCTCAATCGATAAACAGCAATAATACACGGATTAAATTTCTACTTCCTAAGTCATTTAGTATGATCGAGGTACTTTGCAAAAAATATATTGAGTTTAATCTTGGCTTATGAACCGACAGCTGGTCTCAAAAAGGGGTCGAACCGATTTATGGTCAACGAGAAAAATAGTCCCTTTAGTTCGAAACGATATTTGAGGTTCATAGAAATTTACTTTAAAAATCTAATTAAATAAAATGACTCCTTACGATAGAACTATATGAAGATATTAGATTTTGTGTTTATGTATGAAAGCAATTTAGTAGAATGCCGACTTGTGTTATCCCATATTCAATCTCACACTGATACAAGGTATTTTTGAAATTTTAAGATGTCTTCAATATCAGTAATGAAGTTCAGCCAACGGCAGTGTATAATATCTATGCCTAAACTATTCAAAGTTAGTCATAAAAGAGAGGTATGTCGCGATTTTAATGGAGCTGAGATGCTCCCGAAGTTTTAGAAGAAATATAGGTGAATGGAACACTCAGGTTATATATACTCAATTAAGGTCTACGCAATTTTACAATCAGACAGTCTTTAAACTAAATCTCACCGCGAGGTATATCACGTACGAAATCTAGAAGATAAGTGACGCTCTTAAACTCTCCAAACTTCTCTTAAGTTGATAAAATTATCAACACTTTATCATATCTGCAATTTTTTCTACCCGCTGAGAAAAATTTTTATCATTACACGCACACAGTTGGTGATTGCTGATTAAAACAGATTGCGAAATCGAATCAGCTCTAGGTTGTTCGCTACTCTTTTTAAAAATATTTCTTATCTAATTTTTTAAAATTTTGTTTTAGTTATACAACTTACCCACTATATAGTCGTACTCAACATGCAGCTGTTTAGCTTGAAAAGGTACTACTTGCTCACCAAAACGTACAAAAATAAATGCTGAAAATGGGATAAGTGCAGGTAAAATCGGAATATCAAATAAGGGTCGGCTTCCGTCCATGCCATAGATTGCAAGCGTAGTTGGCATAAAGCACGCAGCCATTAAAACCACTAAGAGCCGCATTTTCATTTGGCTCCATGCCATCACACTGAGCAACAGGACTCGTTGAAAAGATTGACCACGTTTTTCTGTACCCATGAAGGAACGTCCACAACACGAGCAGAATAGGTATCCTCTTAGGAAATCCACAATTGTGCTAATCAAAAAATGGCACTAATAGCATGATCAAAGTTGTATCACCGTCTGTCTGTTCATTACACCAAAATGAGACACCTGTGAATTACTGCTGACACAAGATAATCCGCTCTTCTTGCCAATCCTTCTTAGTGGTTGATTTGTCTATTATGTGGCCGACTATCCAATAACACTAGTTTTAGATCACTGATAGATCAAAATAAACCCGCGTAAAGTTGTACGTCACGCAACATCGACACGTGTTTAATACTAAGAGGCTAGAATACAGTAATTACCCACTCAACATGGCTTATTTTGCGCCATGAAGATACGATAGCTTCGCAACGCGACCACTGACTGACAGTAAGCAGCTTGGCTGGTAGGAACCCGCCAGCGGAAACAACGTCGGCCGATCAACGGTGGCTGCTTCGTGCGCTAAGGCTTCCACGGCCTCGTTATTTGCGGCGGCTGCAGCGGGTCCGGACGTTGGGCTCATCTATTGCTACGCCATGTTGCGCGCCCTCACCTGAACAACTTTTCCCTTCTCCCCTACCCTCATCCTCAATAGACATTTGAAAAGACAGATATTTGACTTTCAATTTTAATTCGGTAGTGTTATATTTAAGCATTATCGTGTTTCGGCTTGTCAGGCCTCCTAAAAATTTAAAAAAAATGTCTAACATATTTATCAGATGAAGTTGTAGACCTGTTAAGCTTATTAGAGATTTACGGTATATTAAGGCCTTGCTAATCATAATAGTGGGTGTATTTTTACTTCTATTACTGCAAAATAATTGTGTTTGTAACGCTGTTTTCCCTCAGTATATATCAGCAATCGGTTTATATGAAGCTGTAACAGAATTCACGGAACGTAGTCAGAAATGCATTTGTATCGCACAGAATTTAATGCTTGTTTTGAAGTTTATCACACTGACATTTATCGGCTTGTTTACAGTAATTTCTTTTTCTTCTTCTCGTAACACAAGACGTACCTAAGGTCAAAGTACTTAGAACAAAGTGCCCAGACGAGCACTTGTATCTTAAGTGGCCATCTGGGCGCACGATCAATAGAGTACCGTCTCGTAGCGGATGTATCACGGTTCACTGTCAGTCACCATTAAATAAATCGATCACCATATGTTTTTGTATTGGAAGTGTCCTAGCATATCAGCATAGCGCAGTAAGGCTAGGTTAAACTAAAGACATGCCATAGAACAGTAAATATGACACAGAAATCTAACATTCCGTGGCCAATAGGTCATGAAGAAGGTAGCACTCTTCGAAAGAGGTATATGCCACAGGAACGTCTTATTTCAATACTATTTATTTCAGAAAATAAATCAGGGAGATTCAGAAACGGTCAACTACTTTAGAATGCGCATGATTCAGCGTGCAAAGAAGCCCGTTTGAGAAAGTGATGCTTAGGAACGTATTAACCACACTCACAGCACTCGCTCGGGAAGAAGACCGTAAAAGGTGTGATGAACGCATAAACAAGCTAAGTCATATGCGTATGAAAACGTATGAGAGAATGAGTGTACACTATTAATAATCGTACGCGGCCGACAAGAAGCAAACCGTGTCAAGAAGACCTTGACGTAGCACGTTACTGCAAAGAGCAATACCGGCGAAAAATAAAGAAATAGGATTTAAACCGCAAAGAACGAAGCCACGTCGAGATCGCGGGCGCTTGAGGTTTCAAAATACAAAAGTAAAAAATAGATCAACCGCTGCTGAACAGCTTAAACCTCACAGAATCACTCAGTATTATAATTTCACACCCCTGAATGTGTAAAGCCATTTGTAGCAACAAACATAGCTAGGGCTGTGCACCCAATATTTCTGACCAGAGCAAATATGGCACAAAAATTGTATATTTTAACATCAACAGCCACAATTCGATATAAAAAATGAAGCGTATAGCCGGCCTTGAATTGTTGCACACTCCGGAAGGCTCTGTAGTAGATGCAAAGTACAGCCCAACATTAACACAAGGTAGGTGACTATAAGCCATTTCCGAGAGAGACGGCACATACGCCACACATTCAGTCAGCTTTATTAGCATAAGAGGAATTTGCCAGGAGAGCTTCAAATCAAATGGCGGCAAAAAAGGGGCTAGAAATGAAGATACAGAAAAGATAGGTAACACACACCGATGAAAAATTGAAAATTATACGAAACAATACCAAAATATTTGAATGTGAATATTATTAAATAAACATCAGATGTTGCGGAGACAGAATAGTAATGTCTTGTAGTAGTGGTAATATATAGCAGTAGTTTAATTTTTTTTCTGAGCTACGAAGTTATAATTAACAGCGAATGATTTTTTCTGTGCTACCAAGTGAAACGCTGAGCTTAAAATACTATTTGGGTAATGCAGTCATAGTAGCAATGGTATATTTTATGACTTCGCCAGCTGCATGGCGAGTAAAATTATGTTCTTTTTTTGGATTAGACTTCAAGCGAATCTAGCGGGCTCTGAAATTGGATAGCTTTGAACTGGTTACACTAGAATAATCATTCTTAGTATGGAGGTACTTTTCTTCATGTTTTACGCAGTTATCCCAGCACTGTGGCAGCTTACGTACCTACCATTCGCAGTTGCATATGTTTCTTTATCTATGCCTTCTCGAAGTAAATCGATAGTGGAATGTGCTTCCCTAATTGCCATTTTTAAATCATAAAAAGCCCCATAATCACGCAAACTTGGATAGGAAGAATAAGCGGGTCAAAACCAACGTTGGATATTGCTTTGATCAATGCAGTCAATAACTGAGGCATGGTAATAAGGTCTAACATTGTTATCGTAACCAGAGTACGCGCTTTCGATTGCCGTAGCAAGGGTCATTGAGTTTCTTTAGGGACTCAAGAGCGAGCTACATTCGTAGTTTTATCTCCCGCGAGTACGTCATAGTAGCATATGCCCCTGAAATCCATTGCAAGTGCTACCATCGCTTTACATCTGAACCTACTTGATACTGCCACCAAACTCGATTTCTATTCGCGGCAACGCCCTTCTCTTTGCCCTCACCTGGCCCTTTCGGTTTGGCGTTATGTATTGAAGTATGGTTTGTCTATAGCGACGACTAAGAGGAGTTTTTGAGAGTTAAAGTCTGCAAATCGCACATGAAGTACATCACAAGAACTTTTAGCTGGCCTGGGGCCATTTTTTACTCAATTTCCGCATTTTCAGCATTTGGGTTACGATTCTGTAACATGTTACATGCGAAATACCGATAGGACCCTTAAACAATAGGCTTTGCATTGCGACAATGTGTTCTTGTTCTTTGGGTACTAACGTCTAGTCAGCACCTTGCAGGTTTTCAATTTTTGAAATGTTTGCACCATTACGTAACCATTGATGGTTGATTTTCGAGTATAAAAAATGTACCTTTTTAATTAATTTTTTCTGGAGTGAACTCCAATTTTTACTCACAAGTTTCTCTGCAATTCTCACAATTTCGTCTACTAATGGTACGTAGTTTGCTCTATTTTGAAGTCCGCCGAATTCGTTTGTCACAGTCTAAGAGTTGTTTTTCCTCGCTGTCAATATATAATTGTTGTGGGCAGATATTCTGTCACACTGCTCGTTGCCAAATAATAAACCAAGGAGATGTCGCAGAAAATTGTTACCGACTTGTTTGATATGCCACGCACCCCTTTCGCGCAATGTAAAGGCGTGTTCAGTTCAATTAAACTTTCGAGTGCCCGCTTGAGCGCACGACGTATGAACCCGTCGAACGCACACAATTCGCTGTCCAGCAGCAACAATCGGTCAGTCACCGTACGACACATGTCTTGTTGATGTCTAGCATACTAACATATCAATTTTTTGGCTTTTCTCCATTTTGAAGACCTTGGATTAACTTTTGACCAGTCAAATAGAAACGTTATAGTCGACTGCAAAGGTTGATTTGATGCTATCCTAAAGGCGTCCAGGCGTATGACAAAGATCGTAGAAGATTAATAATCGGGCGTTTCAGCTTAAAGTAGTTTTTAGACTGTTAGGCTGTGTTTTTTTGTAAGCCACTTTCAGTCGATCTCTTTTGCGCACTATAGACACAAAACACAGATTTTTGAAAATTTTATTCATTTCAAAACTACCATATTTCTATTCGTTTCTACTTGCTACATACTTTTTCTATCATTTCAGTTTTTCCTAACATCCATTTACAAATCAGTTGCGAAACTTTAAGCATACCTAGGTTTAAGTAAAACGAATAAATAGTATTTTTTAGTTTAAAGGTGTCCTCGCTTTTTATCCTCGCTATATTTTTTGTATAATTGTATAATTCGCTAATACTAGCTGAAAAGCTGGAAAAAACTTTGCCCGTTATAAGAGATCAGCAACGCTAGGTAAATGAATCGATTAACATATGTCAACGACAGGCCAGAGAGACATGTCGCAGGTTTTAACTCTGGCTCCTCTTCTGATTTTCATTGCCCTGATTTTGGTTAGGTTGATGGTTAGCCCCAGTTCCGAGACGGCAAAATGTAAGTCGGCTAGGGCCTGCTGCACATGGAAACGACTGCTCTCGTAAACAACTAAGTTGTCTGTGTAGAGGCGAAGCTTCACCATTTTGGGCCTGATATATCTTGTCGCTCAGCAAAAATTCATTGGGTGGGGATAAGGCAGCAGCATTTAACGTCAATGTCAATCCACAAACTATTATTACTCGATATGCTAATAGCCATATATAATGCTAATATATATGCTAATAACCATAAGTTGCGAAAACCATAAGAACCGTGAGGGTTGTTGAAGTTGAATTTACAAGTGAACCAAGTAAGGCGGTATTACTAAAAGGTAAGTCTTGTCATGCGTTAGGTCAAGTGACTGAAGGAGAGATGTGCCAGTCGAAATGCAAGCTAAATTATGTGCCTTGCTAAATCAATACCAAAATGTTTTTGCGACACATTATGTTAGGATTGACTTCCCTTGCAAATTTCGATATTAAAAAGTCACCATTTGTTTTATCTAAGCATATCGATTGTAAATCTTGGAACGGCAAGCTTTAAGTTCGATTACGCATGAGATGGCTAATATGAAGATGGTCCGATCCTCATAGTATATATATATAGTAGCTGTATTCTTTTGGTTAAAAATATTGTCATAGATTACCAGTAACTAAATGCATAAAATATTCGGCCGTATATTACGATTTCATTGATGGACGATTTGCTGGATGTAATTGGTGAAAGGTATTGTACTCCACATTCAGTATTACTTTGGAATACATCGACGAAACTTGCATCGCCAAAAAAGCCGCTTCTATCATATACGAGGGCCGTTGGTAATCGTTGATAACCGCTGAGGTACTGTTGCACGATACGTACCTTTTAACTGAAATAATAAACAAGAAAAACTATATAATAACAGCATATCGTTTGCAATCACA